TCATTTCTACTGCCTTTTCTCTCTTGCTTTTTCTACTAAAATTTTTATCTGCTATATAGGGATTTTGCTAAGAGTTCTGGTGTTAAGAATCTGCAGAACTCCAGAATGCTCTGGGCAATATTCCTGCTGAAAACATAATTAGATTCTATAAAAATATATCTTCAAATGAAAAGACAGTGTAAATATAGAAAAGTTGATAATTGGATACCAAAAAGGAATTAAATTTGGATTTACAGGAATTTTGACCCATAATCCATTGCTTTCCCTTTTTGTCTAAATTTAGAAAAGTATTTTGATGAATGTAAAACAGCAGTCAAGAATTTAGAACCCAAAATGTAAGTAATTTTTCTGTCTCTAGAGAGGACATTGGCTGTCCTATGAGGTATGTTTCAGATTATTTTTTTTATAATAAGAGGTTTAGGAGTGGCAGCAGTACCACATTAGATCTTATAAAACATCACACATAAGTGGATCACCTCTGCGACTGTGAACTTAGAAAACAGAAAATTAGAAAATTTAATTTAAATTTAGAAAAAAAAAAGTTACTGAAATATTTTATTCAGCAAATAAAATAGAAACATTTCAGACTTAGATATTTTCTTGACATTTTAAGGTGAGGGAATTTATATTTAGCTTTGTTTTAGCATTTTAATATATTGTTGCATTTTGAGTCTTATAAGTTTGGTGTTGATCTAAGGATGGATGTGGACTTCCTCAGTGAAATAAATAGAGCTTATTTCTACATGCTTTTCTTCTGTAAGCTGTATTTTTTTCTGGTTTTTTCCAGGAAAGAAATTCTCCCTCTAGTGAATCTGGGTCTCTGATTTCACTGGGAGTTTTCTTTGATATTCCTTTAAATTAGAGAGTAGTCATTTTATAGTCAACATTTCCAATGCAATTTTAAGATTTTTTTACTTGCAAGTTGACTCTGTTGAAAAGTGCTTTTCATCTTTCTATTTTTTAATAATTCAAAATATGAGATCTTTTTCTTGACTTATCCTGGCAAAATTTAGAATTCAAGGAGTTTTCTTTTAGTTTTCTGCTGGAAAATTAAAAATTAGTAAGAGAGGAAATAACAAATTAATAATTCCTGCATCACTTGAGCCGATAGCTTTCCATTACAAGCTGTCACATCATATAAAATATACCATTATAACTGTCACACCATTATAATATATGCCATTGTAACTTTGTGTACCTGGTGCTTTAATTGGAGGATTCTTTCAGAATATCTTACTGCAAGAGCAGATATTATAATTTTAACCTAAGTTTATTGATGATCAATTGATTATTATACTTAAAAACATAGAGTGTATCAATATTAAGTTTATATTTATTTGTTCTGCTCTTACTACCATCTTTCACCTGAAATAGTTCTTAATTCCTAATATCTTCTTTCTTGATCCATTTTAATGTGCTGTGCTATCCTTCCCATTCCCATTCATTTTATGATAACCAAACAAAGCTCTTAGAATGAACATGTAAGACTAACAATGTGATGCATTGTTGCACTTTTTTTTTTCCTAAATATGATAGAAATCTTAGGTCAATGGATAGTTGATAGCAATATAGAAGCATCAGTCCAGTTTCTTGGGGTTAATGCTAATCTCAAATTTAGCTGAAGCCTAAAAGATGATTTCATCTGCTCACAAAGAAGAAGCTGACTTTGTTCACATTCTTTTTGAAAATGGAGGGAGAAAATTAACACTATGCACCTATATAATCACTAGAAATGGCTGCTTTTTCACTTCTTAAAAGACGCCAATTGTAATGGAAAACTTTGTTGAATAGTAACTTTTCAATTCTTGTCATGAGCTCATACACAAATTTCTGCCTGACAGCTAAGTCTGCATTTAGCCAGCTCCTTTGTCACATGAAATGTGGAGTGTTTCATTGATTGGAAAACTGAAGAGGGCATGGGTGATTTCTGTGTTAATCTGGTCTCAGTGGATTCAGTTTCTGCAATATGGTATTTAGTTTTAGTCTTTATTTCTAAAATAATACTGATATCAAAATTTAGTACCTGTTACCTGAAGTATATTTGTAAGTCAATTCAGAATGAAATATTGGAGTTTATTGTCTTCAAATATTCCAAATGACTTTTTATATGTAGCATGTGTTTTACAGAGATATTGAAATACAGAAATGGTCATGCTAATCACGTAAATATCAAAGCAAGAAGTGCTCTTGTAAAAGGGGAAACACCTCAAGATACCTTTGTGGTGGTTTGGATAAGAAGGATATAATTTATAGTAACTGCTGCCCAAATTCATTGAGGTTGGTAGAAGAGAGCAATACAGGTATGAAAATGCCTCCAGGGCGATAGGCAGCCTTTTCCTTTGCTTCTTTTTGCTACTTGAAATAAAACCTTGTCATTTCAAGAATTATAATGAGCAACAAACTGGAATAGCCTCCATATATTTACATCCTTCATCTCCATGTAGATAGATAACAATGTGACACTTTATCTTGTCCATTTCAAAATATCAAACCTTTACACAGATTTAACCTCACACTTTTCTATTAGGTCACTATTTGAAGATTATTCAAAACCAGGGCTGAATGATTCCTTGTTTATTACTTTAATTGGTGCTTTTGTAGTTGGTGCCTATAATGCTAGTATTTTAAAATAGGAGAGTATTTCGAGATAGAAAAATAACTTGTGCATTCATTCGGATCTTTCTTTTTAATTTAAAACACAATTCAATGAAAAAGCTGTGATCATTCCTCGTGGATATCTGTGTTCTACACCCTAATAAAACAAAGGCTACATTTGTTCTGCAGTTACTTTCTCTTAATTTGTGAAATGAGGTACTGTCTCTTAAAGTCAGAATTTTCAAGGATGACCTGCAGAAGTTCTGGTTTTGAAACTGTATTTCTTTTTTCTGGGAGAATTGATTGCAATAATGAAATTTTATTTGAAAGGAAATAGATTTTGAGCAATTTATCATCATAAACAATTACACAGCATATTAGATACACAGTTAAGAGCTAAGTTCCTTTACTTGCATTTAAAAATGGATTTACTGCCTTGTGAGTAGCACTCCTTATGCAACAAGTACTACTTGAGAAATAACTACGTTTATTTATGTAGTAATTTATTCTTTCAAAGAATATCTACTAAATGGGTGCTGATAAAACAGCTGATAACACTGTTTTCTCTCTGCAAAGGTGTTTGATAACTGGTGAAACTAAATTAAAATTAAAAATATTAGAAATATAATTCTGACAATGGCAATGTACTTCTAAAAGGTAACATAAAAGTATATATGTTCTGTCTTCATCACATTACTTGCACCAACTTAACTTTCCTCATGCTCAATCTTAAGTGAGCTCAGTTATTTCTCTGTGATTTGAATCAAAAAGTTATTTTCAGAAAGGGCCAATCGTCACACATCCCTCCATTTACTAGTGAATAGATTCTGCATTTGCTTCTTGGGGTGTTTCCACTGCATGTTTATCTTGCTGTGCATACTTTGCTTTTATTTAAAATGTCACACCATTACAATAAGCAAGATGTTGCTTTCTATGTGAGTGCTGCACTTGCTCTATATTCATAGACTGGAGATGAGAACATGTCCCAGAAATAAGAAAGATTACAAGACAAATTTCCAAAAAGCATATTTCTCAGTTCTTTGGGATTTGCTTTATTTTGATTCATTTTAATAATTTATGGAAGCAGAAGAAGAAACAAAGGAGTTAAAAACAACATACATATGACCAAAGCAAATGTTTAACCACAAAATGAAGTAACACAAAAAAGCTTTGTAGTTAAATGTGGTATTTTCAAGAACAAGTTTCTTTACAGCATTATTAATGTTCAATATTACAGGATCACAGTATTTAAAAAAATACAAGAATTATAGTTATGAAAAGGTAATTTAGCTTTTGACAACAGTATGAAAGAAGCTGTGTCCACAATAATATACAGACAGTAATAAAATAGGGAAAAGTTGGGAGGTACCTTGTTGCCTTTTTGCAACAGGAAAAACTCCAACATCATTCTTTGCTCAGTTTGGGACTGAATTTTAAAACATGTAGGATGCTTGTGGCCAAATATGACAGAAGGTCTCAGGTTAAAAAGGGAAATTACTTTTTAATCTTACCATTTCATTCACTCTTATCCATAAACATAAATCATGCTGCGTGCTTGGCAAAGCTAATTTGTTAATTTAATTATTACACTTCTGCAATGCTTCTCAGTTGTAAAAGATATTCAATTATTCCACAAGCTACAATAATTCTATTCATCTCAGAGGAGCTATTGTATTGTATAATTAATACTGGCATAATCAAAGTTAGAGTTTCTTTTGTATGCCACTAGAGCCCATTCCTACTCTACGTGCTATAAAGGGACCTAACTGCTTACAGTACTTTAGAAACCAGGTCCATAACAGTTTTGTCAGATTTTACTCATCTATTTGCTTGGTACTAGAGCTAAGCACCAATAATGCTTTTTATAGTTAAATACACACTTTCAAGTAATAAATGAGAAAACCCATGGGAATTCAAAATATATGAAATTACAGAATAATTACTTTGCAAATGCAGTTTTTGAAACAGTAAATTATACTGAGAGGTAAAGTGCCACAAATATATTGTATCTGAAAAACACATTGCCTCAGACAATTTTAACTGATTTTGTTCTTTTTCTCTGCCTGCAAAAATATTTCATACTAGTTTCTTTATTTCAGTTACATGGTTTCCATTTTGTTTTGTAGCTCTTTGTTTTAACAAAAGCAAGGAGCCCTCAGTACTAGCTCTTCTGAGTGCTATAATTTTCTAGGCATTCATTTTCAAGGTTAGCATTTATTAGTCCTAGTGTTCCATCTCTTCCCTCCTATTCCCTTGTACATACCTTTTCCAGGGTACCTGCAAAGTGGTTTAGTTCTGTACTTTCAAATCCCTTCTGTACATTTTCTGATGCACATAAATAATTTACTACATTGTCACATGTGAGTATAAATTTTATGTCAATTTGCACATCTGAGTTAACTTACCTTTGTATTCTTCTTTTTCTGACTCTGTTGGTAAGCTGGCAGTTTCTTGAGGTCATTTTCAGCCTGTAAAATACCAAGTATACCAATGACATTTTAAAAAGACAGTTATTTCATGAGTCTATGTGGTGAAGTGGAGAAAGATTTTCTACTCCCACCATGATTTGTAAAAAGGCAACCAAAGGATCACCTTTTTCATGAGTTTCTTCACTTAACAAGGAAGCACTATTTCATTCCTTCTAAGCAATACCCAGGAAACACATTCAGATGTGTGCCACTAGTTTGTTAAAATTTCCAAAGCTAAGCTCTTCTTCTGAACTGTCCTCACTCATTTTGATCTTTTTTCCTCTTAGGAAGGCAAGACTTACAGAGACTGGTAGTGATTTTTTTTCAGTTAAGAGAAAAAAAGCATGTTTTTGGGACACTAGCCCAGATCTTAAATGCAAGCAGTGCAGCTGTATGATTACACTGAATACTTGTTTTTCCAAACCTTGACTTACTTATAACCTTAAATCCTCACAGCTATAACAACACCATGACTTTTGACTTTACTGGCATTAATCTGATCTACAGAATAAATCCCATAAAGGCAGCAGCACATATTATATTTATCAAATTCTGTTTACCTCTATGAAAATTTAAAATTCTACCTAAGAGTATTAAATACTAAAGAATATATTTGAATAAATAATATTATTTACATAATATCCCTGATGAGACTACAGTCTTTGTCCTGGGGAGAGTTAAGTTTACATTTCTGAAGTTTACAAAGCATTCTTAAAAGTATTTACCGTTTCCTTAAATTCTGAAACTTTAGAAAGCTTCTGAAACTTTAGGTCTTGTCTTGAACTTTTTTTCCAGTTTTATACATGCATACTCTTATCTTAGCATTGTAGGAGAATTTTTGCTATAAGCAGGCTCGAGTGGTGAGCAAGGCTGTGATAAGGAGAAAGGCTTATCTTAATAGCTATTCCAAGGAAAATCAAGCTGTTCTGTAATAATTAAGGTGTGAATAGTATTTCTTATATTTACCGCTATAGTAGGTGGAAAAATATCAGAAAGAAAACATTAAATTCTTTCCAAAATGAACTGGAAAGAGACGAGGAAATTTACACAAAGGATATATGTTACTTGCCTTTGACATTTTTCCAGATTTTCTGTAGAAAAGCCTAGGAAGAACAAAAGATGTTAAGGGAGAAGCAAGATTTCTCAAAGGAATGGTCTCTGACAAAAAGAAAGTGGACAGTAAGAATGTAAGTTTAGGTTTTATATTAGTAGTGCAATGTATTTCAGCTCTTCGCTAGGATTTGTGTTAGGACTTGATGTGCTATTATTAGCCAGAAAATAGAGGATAAACAGAGAGGTAGAAAGTTTTGCAGAAGACATACCACCATTTCAGCAACTTAAATGGGGAAGGCTACGTATTCTAGCAGTGCTGACTGAGTGAGTGGAGTGGCATGGCACGATTGCCATAGAAATTAATCCATATAGCTGTAAGGCAAGACATCATCCGTAATTATTAGAAATGTCTCTAAGTCCTAAAATTACAACCACTCAAACAAAATATTGAATCAGACCAGCATCAGGAAGGAGTAATACATGTAACTGACTAACTATGTTGTATAGGTGAATTTAATTTTGTGGCAGTTTTTTTCCCTATGCTTCTGTGAGCCAAATGCTGGTTTAAAAAAAAAACCATCAAAAACCAACCAACCGAACACCCCCCCCCCCCCAAATCAAAGGAAAAAAAAAGATATAATGCTCACTGATTGGAAACAGTGAAGAACGCTGAAGGAAATCAAAACTGGGACTGTAGAACTGACATTAAACTAAAAAATTAGCTTTTCGTAAGAAAGAGACTTTGGAAAGAGAGTGGCAGGAAATTAGCAAAGGCTGATAAATTATTTGAATTCTTGAGCAAGTTTACTTCATGTGGAGATCATTATAACTGGATGATATAACTTCATTTTGCAAAGATCATTAAATTTGTGATAGTACGTAGCTGGAGGATTAGGCAATTTCTGCTTCAGCATAGCAGGGTATTAATTAGTACAGTTGCCCAGGAGGCAAACTCTACTTTAGCCAGAGTGGCTTTGTGTTGTTCACTCTAGTGCCCCAAACACCATTCGTCATCTAACCAGTGAAACTAGCCACTAGGTACTCAGTACAAGATTCCTGTCTGCAGAAAGACAAGCAGTCTGCAGCTTTGTGTCCTGTGTGATGAGCAGGGGAATCAAAACTCCCTGTTCAGTGGATGTTTCTGGACTTCAGTTAGGCATATGGATTAAGCTCATGCATACACATATACACATTAGTGGTATGTGTTGGATTTTGACTTCCCGTTGGCCTCTCAGCCTTGTCTCCTTCAGATGTTTGCCCAAGTAGAATTAACACACTGTCAGGAATGGTTTAACCTGTACTTAAAAACTTCCTGTGATGAAGGCTCTATAAGCTCCAGAAGCAATGTGTTCTGTTTTTCTTTTTGATGATTGTAATATGATATGGTATTGGTAAAAGTAGGTATATTTCAATAATTTCTTGGTGGAATTGTGAAAACACTGGAATGCTCCGATTTGATCACATCATCACAGTATTGGCCAACATAAATTAATTTTCATCTCAACTTTCTGGAACACCACCAAATGAAGTGCCTCTGATTGTGCACAGTGGTTGTTCCTAGTCTGAGATCTGATTACTGTTTTCCTTGTAAAAGGAAACAACCTCCCATCAATCAAACGTGCAAGCAAGAAAGCGTGATCTTTTCAAAAGATAGCAGAATCCTTTACAGATGATGTGTGTACTTAGTATTATGGCCCTGGATTAATCTTGACATGCCATCATCCTGTACAGATACATCCTGAAAATGTTGTTCTGAAAAATAGCCTAGGAATGAATGTTAAGGAAAATGGTTAGACATGTGAGAAAACTTACACAAACAGAAGGAAACTATTGGGACAGTGCATTTTTCAGTAAGCAGAAACCTCTGAATTGGTGGAAAGATGCAAGATGTTTTGAAAAGACATAAGCTTCAGATTGGTCTGGGGCAGAAATAAAGATGAAGTCTGATCCAGAAACTGACATTTCAGACAAATTAGGTGATATCTAAGATTAAAATGGACTGAACTGAATATGGTTAAGAAAGAGACTCCGGATAACAATGCTTTCATTATTTAAGACACGCATGAACAATACATTCTTTAAAAGAATTATTATTATTACCATAGTTGTCTAAACAAACAGGCCAATCAGTTAAACAAATCAGCATTAGTGTTTGAAGTAATAGGGAGATACAGTGATGTCTCTCTTTATTTTGTTTGTTTACAGACTGCAGTTAAACATTGAGAAGAGTGAAATAACCATTGCAATGAAATAAATTGACTTTCCTTACAAAAGAAAAAGTTATTGTTTATGAAAAGATTATGGAAAAATAGGAAGTACATGCAAATACAAGCCTGTATTTCAGTTACTGTCTTTTATTGTGTTGAAAGAATATCAAGCTATTTAGTAATAGCAAAATAATGCTAGGCTTTGTAGAAGCACAGAGGGATGAGGCATTAACTTTGCTAGTAGCTTCTGCTGGTAATTAGTGCAATAAGACTAGTTTTTATACTTGGCAAACACAAGTTCTGTTCTGAAAAGGAGTATGTAGACTTGTGAAGACGATTTTCTATGTTTCTGTCTTATCCTATTTTTCTGTTTTCTCCCCTTCTTTGCTCCACATTATTATCTAGTCTGCTTCTGTTTTCAGCTCCCAGCAAGAGGAGCTGCAGTTATTTTCTCTGACTTCTCTAGATGCCTTTGGTAGAGCTATTGGAAGTACAGGAGAGACATTCTGCTTGGTTTTGGTTCTCATGGAGAACCTCTGCATCATCTAATACCAGACATGGTGGGCAATTGCAGAAAGAACCTTGCATGCTTGACAGGACTGAAGTGGATCACAATACTAATTGCCTAGTATGACACACATAGTATTCAATCTATTATTTTCAGAAAATATTGAATCAAGGACTAGTTTCTGGCATTATTAATTTAATTAGGAGAATGAGTCAAACTAGTAAACATGCCCAGTTTTCCTTTAGGAGTAGATGAACCAAGGTGCCTCTATGGGGGGATTGAATATGCTCAGTATAAGCAAGATGTTATAGGGTAAGGTATTATAGGGTAAAGTATACCTCAACAGAATACAAGCAAAAAGCAGTCTTCAAAGGTTTGTCACTTTGCAGGATTTAAGTAGGAGTTTGTGAGCTCAGAATACATTATAAATTTATAGAAATTTAATCTCTAGAAAGATCTGAAGATCATGTTTCAAAAAAAAAAAGGTCATTTAAATCTCTCAATGAAATCATTGTAAGAGCTTCGAAGTATTGGCAGAATAATATATTCTACCTCTCCTTGGTTTCCAATAATAGTTGAGCAAATTTAATTGGAAAATTAAAGAAAAAAATCAGCTTTTAATAGATGCTCAACATGGAAAATTCTAGTCTGAATAGCGGACACTATAAAAGCTGAATCTTATAATTAAGCAACAGGTGTCACAGTACATGCTGTCTGTAATGATCCTAAGGAGAAAGTAATTTAGGTATCAAAGAAGGGAAGAAATATTTCAGATGACCTGCTTTTTGCAGAGGCTAATCAAACAAATTAAAACAATTTACAAGCTAATTAGACTCCCTTCACAGCAGCAAGTGGTACTGTGGTAGAGCTTCAGATAACTCCTCTCATTGGTTTGGAGCAGGGTATTTAAAAGAGATGGTGGCAAATCTAAACTGATCATTTAAGTTAATCACTCATATGCTGCTTGCTGAGCTTGAAGAGTAAAAAGCTATCAACCGTACATATGTTTGGACATAGTTTGGAACACAGTTCAAGCAAATATTTGAATCATTGTAGTCTGTTTTATAAACTCACTTAGGAGTGAAATACCTTCACTGACAGGTGCTACATTGCATCAATTTGATGCAACTTAGCACTTCAGGAAACTACAACAGGATATTTAAAGCAATTTTAACCGAGTGTGCTTCTTAGCAATCTAATATACTTTTGTTTGTTTGTTTTTCCTCTTCTTTTCTACATTGAGTTGGAAAGCATAATGGCATTTGTATTGTTAAGTTCTTTGGGCAAAGATAGACAGCCATTGTGGAGGGCTTTGCACAGTAACCCTTTTGGGATGTGGTCCTGCTCATTATTGTTATCCTTCTATTCATGCAATTTGACTTATTGAAAAAAGATATCACAAATACATTGTGGTGGTTTTAGCTAGCTTTCATAAGCCAAGTGAAGAATTTTCTCCCTTCGCTCCTGGTTATCAAGATAAGCACTTCAGAGTACAA